GCCTAGACCCTTCTTCTGAAGAAGGGTCTAGGCCCGAAACGTCAGCCTTCCTGCTCCTCTGATGCTGCTTGGCCTGCTGTGTTCATCCAGCTCTACACCTTGTTATCTTGAATAAATAGATTTTGATAGGCAATTTATTGAAAAAAGCTCCTACATTTAACAATGGAAATAAAAATCCCCCTCCCATGGTTTTACTGCAGTGCCTCTTAAGTCGATGTCCCATTCTCTGGGAACCAATCCAAAGTGATTCATAACTTATTACCTGTCTCTTTTTCTGTACAAAGGGAAAAATAAAGAACTGTAGATGCTGGAAATCAGAACCAAAAACAAACTGCTGGAATAGCTGAACAGTTCTGGCAACATGGGGAGAGAGAGCAGAGTTAACATAACTTCAGAAGTGAAGTAATCTGCTTTCTCTGTACAGTGTTGCCATACCTGTTGAGTTTTTCCAGCAATTTCTGTTTTTTTCCCTTTCTCTACCTTTTAATCCTTAAACTGGCCTTTATGGTGTGATTACACTGGAGATTCTTACCTTTTGGCAAAACTGAGCGAATCTTTCAATCAACATTAATCATCACAAATCTGGTTTCTTTGCTCCCAGCACAAGCTTCTACTCTCTTTTTCAATTCATTGATGGGATGTGAGCATTGCTGGCTGGCCAGCATTTCTTGCCCATCCCTAGTTACCCTTGAGAAGGTGGTGGTGAGCTGTTTTGAACTGCTGTAGTCCTCCTGCTCTGGGTTGACCCACAATGCCATTAGGGAAGAAATTCCAGGATTTTGACCCAGCGACAGTGAAGGAACAGCAATATATTTCCAAATCAGGATGGTGAGTGACTTGGAGGGGAACTTGGAGATGGTGCTGTTCCCATATGTCTGATGCCCTTGTCGATGGAAGTGGTCGTGCATTTGGAAGGTGCTGTCTGAGGATCTTTGATGAATTTCTGCAGTGCATCTTGTAGACAGTACACACTGCTGCTACTGAGCATCGGTGGTGGAGGGAGTGAATGCTTGTGGATGTAGTGCCAATCAAGCAGGCTGCTTTGTCCTGGATGGTGTCGAGCTTCTTGAATGTTGTTGGGGCTGCACTCATCCAGGCAAGTGGGGAGTATTCCATCACACTCCTGACTTGTGCCTTGTAGATGGTGGACAGGCTGTGAGGAGTCAGCAGGTGAGTTGCTCGTCGCAGTATTCCTAGCTTCTGACCTGCTCTTGTAGCCACTGTGTTAATGTGGTGAGTCTAGTTGAGTTTCTGGTCAATGGTAACACCCAGGATGTTGATAGTGGGGGATTCAGTGATGGTTACACCATTGAATGTCAAGGGACGGTGGTTAGATTGTCTCTTATTGGTGATGGTCATAGCCTGGCATTTGTGTGGCGCGAATGTCACTTGCGACTTGTCAGCCCAAGCCTGGATATTGTTCAGATCTTGTTGCATGCGAACATGGATTGCTTCGCTGTCTGAGGAGTTACAAATGGTGCTGAACATTGTGCAATCATTGGCGAACATCCCCACTTCTGACCTTCTGATGGAGGGAAGGTCATTGATGAAGCAGCTGAAGATGGTTGGGCCTAGTAGAGTACCCTGAGGAACTCCTGAGGATGTCCTGAAACTGAGATGACTGACCGCCAATAATCATGACCATCTTTCTATGTGTCGGGTATGACTCCAACCACCAGCGAGTTTGCCCCCTGATACCCATTGATTCCAGTTTTGCTAGGGCTTTCTGTGTATTGAACCACAGTGATTTTCTACCTCCATCTCTCAGCTTACTCTCTCGGATTCTCACAGACTGAGACTGAAAGGTTCAGTGATATATTAAGAAAACAAACTGCAAATCAATGCTACACTAGCTTCCTTTGAACTCCCTCCTCATAAAGCTCATCTCCATGGCAACATGCATCAGATGGTCCTTGTATCCAGGTAGAATTTTTTAAAATTACAGGATGAGGGTGTTGCTGGCTAGGTCAGTATTTGTTATCCATCTGTAATTGCCTAGAGGGAAGTTAAGAGTCAACCACATTGACGTGAGAATCATAGAATCCCTACACTGTGGAATCAGGCCATTCCACCCATTGAGTCCATGCTGACTTTCTGGACAGCATCACAGCCAAACCCACCCTACCGCTAATCTGCCTCGCCTGTACATCCCTGGACACGATGGACAATTTAGCATATCCAATCCACCTAACCCATACATGGACTGTGGAGACAACTCGCGCAGACACAGGGAGAATGTGCAAACTCCACACACAGTCGCCTGAAGGTGGGATTGAACCCGGATCTCTGGTGCTGTGAGGCAGCAGTGCTAACCACTGAGCTGTCCCTAGTTATAGTTTATATAGTATAGTTTATCTACTATTTACACAGATGCTTTGATAATTGTTTACAGGCCATCATGCATCTTTTTCTCAACAAAACAACCATCCTCCGTTTTACCAAATCCAGCCACTTTTAGCCTCTCTATAACCAAGCCATCTGGGTCCACTTCAATAGAATTCAAACCCCTTCACTCTATTTTCCCTGAAAAAGCGAGTCCCACAATATTCTAAAACTTTAAATTTTGTAACGAGTACCATTATCAATAGTAATGTCATTGGAGCACTAGTGATGTGAATGCATGTTAAGTCCTGCTCCCCTGAATTTTCTGAAGCATTGGTGGCGCAAAGCTAAAAGAAGAGGAACCTAACGCATTATGTCAGTGAGAGGGGTGTGGGGAGGGAGGTTGAATGGGGGAGGCAAGGGAAGGTTTAGATGACAGAGGCCCTAGTCTTGGAGGCAGAAACATTTTGCTCCCTCACCTCTCGGCTGCAAAGGTGTCAGAGCAAGCAATGCATCTTATCTCAAACAGCAAATCTGTCATTTGCCATCGTCAAGAAATTCATGTAAAAGACCAAAAAAGAAAGGCGAGTTATCTTAAAGTGCATGCAAAGAACAATACAGCACAAGAGCAGACCCTTCGGCCCTCCAAGTCTGCGGTGACACAATTTGCCCTTCTGTACTAAAACTGTCTTCACTTGCAGAATCCATTTCCCTTTATTCCCTTCTTACTCATGTACTCATTTGTAGTAAAAGAAGTGCAACATAGGAGCTAAAGTAGTTGATTAAAATCATGATATTGAGATCAAATGGACCAAAGTTAACAACAGAATACTTATTGAATAAGTATGTATATCACTTGCAGTAGGTTTTGGTCAGGGTATTGTTAGAGTGCCAATTTCTTCAAATTGTACAAAGGCAATATATATACAACAGTGGGAGTAGATGGGTCCTTGTTTTAGCATCCCAGATAAAAGATGGCATCTCTGACAATGCAGTACTCCCTCCATCCTACCATTATGGGCTCAAATCTAGAATCTCTGTACCTAAATCATGTAAGATGTTTATGACTGATCAAAGACAAGTACAGAGTATGTGAAGAGGGGCAGTAAAGGGGCAGTAGAGATGTACGAGAAGGCTGGTGTTCATAGTTAAATTAGTTTAAATTTTTAATTAAAAGTCATTCTAAAAATTAAGTGCCAAGAGAAACAAACATACCCCAAAAATAGATTAGAAAAGGTAAAAGTTGGATGAGAGATTTAGTGAAATTAAGAATTATTGCTGAAGAGGGAGATGTTGCCAAATCTTTACATTTTGCACTCATCAGG